CAGTTCATGTAATATATATTGAAACTCTTATCCGTTATTGATTGTGTGGCTAGTCAGTTTTCTAAAGGACAGATTTTTACAGAAATTCTTGTTTTCATACTTTGAAAAATCTTGAAATGTACACTTCTAACTTTGTGTATGTTAATTTTCTTTAGCAGCCTATACAGTTTGATCCCCAGCTGTTGTAAATTGGCATAGCTTCATTGATTACAGGGGACGTGGGCTGAGTTACACCAGCTGAGGGTCTGACTCTCTATCTTTGCATATGTAGCCTAAAGTTGTACAGTAAAAGCTTTTTGTATCCAGAATATTGAGAGATTGGCAGCAAAAAGTTCCAGTTAACTGAGGGAGGGAGTTTGGATGTGGGATGGGGTGCTGGGTGCAGGCTCTGGAAGGGAGTTTGGGGAAGGGAATTGATATACTGGAGGGGTTTGGGGGTGCCAGATCTGGGGGTTGCTCACCTCTGGTGGCTCCCAGCAAGTAGTGACATATCACTGCTCCTGGCAGAAGCACAGCTAGGTGGCTCTGTGTGCTGCCTCTGCCTACAGATACCACCCCCACTTCTCCTTTTGGTGGTGGTTCCTGGCCAGTGGGAGCTACAGAGCCAGTGCTTGGGGCGGGGGCAGTGCTCAGAATTGCCTAACTGTGCCTTTGCCAGAAGCAGCAGGGACATGTCCCTAAAACTACTCCCACATCCAAACAGCTTTTCAGAGCCCATGCCCTACACCCCATCCCACACTCTGAACCCCTCGTGGCTGTTCCCGCACCTAAGAGCAGCCAGGACATGTTGCTTCTCCTAGGCAGCCATGTGGTGCCAGGTTAGGGAACCTGACAACCGTGTGCCAACCGGACCACAAACTGAATGTTCTATGAAGATTAGAAATGCTGGTTTATAGAGCTTTCTGGTTGGTACAGGGCCAGAAAATACAGCTTTTATTGTATTTGCAGTTAGTTCATTTGCAGGTGAGTTTATAATGATTTCCTTACAATCTGAGTAATAGATATTAAAGACTGGAAATCTTTAACTTGCAACCATTTTTTTAAGTGTTGGTCTCTAGCCTGGAATTCCTTAATTTGAGATGTGCAACATCTAATTTTCATATCTGCTGAGTTACTTACAGTTGCTCTTGCTGAGACTTTCAGTGCTCAGCAGTTCTGAAAACAAGCCCAATAGGTCTCAAATGAGGCATCCAAAATAGTGGCCACATAAGAAAATTTTGACCTGGATATCTTGATTCTGATACTGAGGTCCCAAATATATACAGGCAGTCCCCGGGTTACGTACAAGATAGGGACTGTAGGTTTGTTCTTAAGTTGAATCTGTATGTAAGTCGGAACTGGCGTCAGCCGCTGCTGAAACTGATCAGCGGCTGATTTCAGGAAGCCTGGGGCAGAGCAACTCTGCCTCGGGCTTCCTGTAGTCAGCCGCTGGTCAGTTTCAGCAGCGGCTGACGCCAGTTCCGACTTACATACAGATTCAACTTAAGAACCCCAGGCATCCCCAAGTCAGCAGCGGCTGACTTGGGGACGCCAGGGGCAGAGCAGCTGGGGGGCTGGGTTGTTTTTTTCCAGTAGGAATAAGAAATCCTCCGGAAAAGGCTTTATTTTCCAGAGAATAACGTCTAGACTGGCGCTTTTCTCCGGCTTTTCCGCAAGACAGAAAAAAGCGGCAGCCATGTTAATGCAAATGCCGTGGGGGATATTTAAATCCCCCGCGGATTTGCCTATTCCAACGTGCTACATTAGCATCCCTTTTCCGGAAGGGATGCCAGTGTAGACGTAGCCCCCATGTTTAAACATCTGTCTAACATGACATCATCCTTCCAGAGCAGCCGCTCCCGCAGGTAGCGATCCCAAGTGCCACAGACTGTCCAGTCCCAAAACGGGGGGGTCTTTCAGATCCCCAAAACTACATGCAGCAGCCAGTGTGTTTAAGACTAGTAATATAGAAGTCTGTTCCCTCCCCTTCAGATTAGTCTCTTTTGAGAATTCTCTGTTGCTTCACAGTTTCAGGCCTGTGAACAGCTTGAGCGCTTCGTTCTGTTGGCTCCATTTCTAGGCTAGGTTTGTGTCTGCAAAATCCATGGGGATTCATACTGAATTCCATGGCTCATACTGCCAGCTGCTGCACTATACAGAAATCACAGCTCTGGCATTAGCACCCTGTTCCATTAGCAAAGAGTGAAGCTTGAGTGCAGGTTAAGTTGAACAAGTGGAAGTGTATTAAACTCTGTGCACTAGTCTGTCTGGGTATGTCTACACTACAATGTTAGTTCGAACTAACGGACATTAGTTCGAACTAACATTCATAGGCGCTACACTAGCGCTCTGCTAGTTCGAATTTAAATCGAACTAGCGGAGCACTTAGCTCGAACTAGGAAAACCTCATTTTACGAGGATTAAGCCTAGTTCGAATTTACTAGTTCGAATTAAGGGGTGTGTAGCCCCTTAATTCGAACTAGTGGGAGACTAGCCCTCCCCAGGTTTCCCTGGTGGCCACTCTGGCCAACACCAGGGAAACTCGTCTGCCCCCCTCCCGGCCC